TAAAAAATCAGGAAATAAATATAAATTATGCCTCTTTCATTCTAGAATCACAACAAATTATAAGACGAAAACATAAATGTTTAAACTAAATAGCTTGAATCTCATAACATTATAAATTTATATATATATTTAGTATTTTTATTATATTGACCTTTCAGCCATGCCTGACTAACAATACAAAAGTTACAATGATGCAGGACACGTGCTCTCATGTTATCTTATCCAATAATATAAAACTGACCTTATTGCTGTACAAAGTAACTTGTCTTGGCTGTGTTTTAGTAGAATAGCATTTTGTAAAATACAGTCACATTTCAATTATTATACATTATACATGTATATAGATTACTATTTATAAATAAGTTCTTAAACTTATTTTTCTTAAAACATAGAACTGTAAATAAAGAAATAAAGCAAACAATTAACTCTTCTAGTTATGACCTTTGTACTTGGTTGCTGCCTCTTTGTAAAATTTCGCACGTGGAGGATATGAAACAAAATTTATTTTAGGTTTTATATATACAGTTGAATAGCCAAAAAATCATAAATTACTACATTAATATCATAGAATTCCACTATAGTTTATCAAGCTTAGTAACTTAAGCTGTATTTCAGTCTAAAAAAATGTGAAATTTCAAGCAGACAAAAGACACAACCTACCTCCTTGAAATCTTGGTTCGAAAGAACGAGATGCCATCTTAACATTTTAAAATAGTAGAGAAAGCCACTAGAGGGACATTCTGAGCTTTTGATTGGATATTCGCATGCCATATATTGAAGTAAATATATATATATGGGACCATTTCCAAAATTGGAAAGAGGTGAATGGAGCCACTGTGTTTGATTCAGTACATGAGCGATATCTCGGCAAATAGAAAAGATACGAGGTTCTTATTTTATATTCTAGCTTGTCAATATCGGTAATTGGAGTTCCTAATTCATATAAAGCTATAGACTTAGTATTTTGACATCACAAAAATCTAATTTGAACCAGTGCTGTATTCAGCATACCACATGACACATAAAAATTGATGTTTAACTGTGTTTTTCTTATATTTACTTTTAAATTAAGAAGTTGAATAATGTATAATAGAAAAATTTCAATTATAAGCTACAGTTTGATACCAAATTTATTGACATAAATTCATGAAATAGTAGTTCAATAAAATTTTAAATGCAAATCAACAAACGTGATGACATGGCCTTTGAATGTGATCCGTCTGGAAAGGGTTAATTGGTCTAGCTTTGCAGAATTTTGTTCAAACATATGCTTTATACACCCCTCATAACACTCAAGAGTTGGTGTGTAAGAAATCACCAGCTTTATACAAGCTAATATATGTATAATTACAAACCTTCTTCAACACCCAGTTGGTAAGCCAAGTTTTGTAAAGCCTTGACTTTCTCTATCAGAGCTGCTGCAGTCAGACTTCCAAACCCTGGTAAGAAAGATAAATAACTAAATTACTGAAACTATTTAATAAAAATAAAACATTACTTTTTCCAATTTTATTTTGAACAAATCAGAGATGTAGGTTATCATCATGATAAAGACTGTAGTTTAAGTAATTATAATAGCTTAGGAACATAAGTTTGTATTATATACAGTTTCAACTTTGGCAGAAAAGTGTCCATTAAAAAAAGAGAGAGAGAGAGACTAAAAATACATAACTTTAAGTGACAAAAATACTTTGATAAAATTCTTTACTGCAATGAAAAAAAATATAAATAAAGCTATACAATTGCAACAATCTACAAATGAATACAGAGGGTTGAATATGTTACATTAAAATGATTTCCGAGCCTCACTGTTTTGTTACAATCCATGTCGCCACGACAGTGCATCCTGACAAAAGCCTCATGGCATAATTTCCATTGCAAATGGCTCTATGATAAGGCTGTAACATCCAAAGCACACAACTCCTCCCTGCTTGTTTTCCATAATCTATCATGTGTATGAAGATGATCACAGAGAAACCACCCATAGGTTCTGTGACTTGATAATATGTCTTGATATGGAATAGCATCAATACCTGTTTCATTTCTCAGCTGCTTAAGGTATGCAGCATACAACTGGAAGCCTTATCTTGATGAACTTGTACTCTGTTCACCTTGTTTTCAGACAGAGATTCTTCTTGATTATAGTACGAATTGTTGTTTGAAACACATGGATGGCTTTTGCCACTATGTTTTATGTTCATGGATTCTCACCTATTAAAAAAATCCCAACTTTGCTTACTATGGCATGATACAGTTTGTTGCAGGTCTTTCTGGATGGTTCTGGTGCCCCAAACCAATCCATATTCCTTTGTTTTCCAATGACATTAAGTACTAAGAATATCCCAAACTTTGGCACATACTTATGTATAAATATTTTGCATTAGAACAAAATGTTACACACCCTTCCCAAACCAATCAGTATTTGCCGGCATCACACTAACTATGAATAGCCAAATAATGTCAAAATGGAGTTTTGACACATTGATTCACCAGGACTTAATATCGGTTTTGGTTGTCATGTGACTTGCTAATTCAAATTATTTTTAATATAATGTACCCAACCCTGTATTTAATACATGTGTAAGGGCAAGCAATATAAGTACACATATAGCAAAATGCAATAGCTGGTGTTGTACACTAGAATATTTGGTCTCAAAAGTGACATTGTTTTAATAAAGACTGCATGTTATAATCCAACTGGCTTGATGAGCTCTGGTATCAGGTGAAAGGCCTTATTGGCACAGGAGTACAGCAAACAATGTATTTTAAAAATGCCTATTATACAGCCTTCTATACAGTGAATCTGTTAAGAATAATGTATATAAAATTATAACCAATGTTACTTTCATGTTAAATATCCACTGTTATTTAGAAGTGTAAATAAATCTTTTTATGAGTATTTTATTCTGATTTAATTTCTAGTTGTCAACAGGAATCAATCTCTGCAACCATCAAAAGGCTTGACAGAAACCATTGATCTACATACCTTGCATCATGTACACGTCTTCTTGATCTATGTCCTTCCATTCTGGTTGAGAGTTTTCTCCACTAACAGGCTAAAAAATGAATGTTCTTGTGCTACAAAACCTATCACTAATTTTCTATACTAGCAGGTTTATACTTCTCAACTCAAACAGCTATTACTAATCTTCTGTATTAACATGTAAATACTTATCAACTGAAACTCTAATCTTCACCAGGATGAGACCGAAGACAAAAATCTACAATCCTGTAGTTTTTACTCTATACTCAATTATACTTATGCTCTCTTTGAAAAAGAAGTCATTTCCATACATTAATTTAAAATATTTACACATTTCTTTTCTACCTATTTTAGTAATTTTCATTTCAGAAATGTTTTTTATAAATAAACACTATTTTGTACTTCAAGGAAGTGTAGGCTTAAACCAAAGAGCAGGCATATTTAGAAAGTTAACATTTTTCTTATCTGAAAATATATTTCCAATAGACACTCACCTCCACACTATCATGCCACTAGCCTTGAGGCAACTCCCATGTAATTTTAAATAAATTTTGTCACTGCATGATGATGTCAAAATGCAAAAAAACACCCTCCATCGATAGGAGGGTGACACATCTACATGTGCACTAACACCCCCTATACATTTACACTCATGAATCTTCATTCTTTGATGAGGCAAGTAAGAAAATTTGCACTGAAAGTAGGGAGGATGGGTGGGAATGTGTGTGAAGGTAAGTATCTGTAGGAAATACATTTTCAGGTAAGTAAGATGTTAACTTCCTAGACAATAACTTACCTCTCACACATCTCATCTCATCCAGGGTATACTCTTTGCCAAAACAGGAAAAGGGAAGAGGAACTGAAGCTGAGTACTTGCACACAAGTTGTCGTACAGCCAATATGTGTAGTGTGGTTGGGGCACATCCAGACCTCACCTTGTGTGCTCATCTCAACTCTACCATCAGACTCTATGGGAGTGACACCAGCTGTGAGAGGAGGACACATGTGTAAGTATCCATGTCCACCTCAACTCCACCATCAGACTTTAGGGAAGAGACTCCAGCTGTGGGAGGAGAGTACATTGTTATGGAATGTGGATACTTGTGTGAATATTATGAATTCTTCTCAAAGATGGTGGAAAGACTGAAGTAACACACCTGTGTAAGCCTAAAACCATCAGGAGATAAAGCAGCAAGATGTAGAGAAGGAGATAAATGTGTAGAAAGAGTACACATGCCTGCCTGGAGTAGTTTTTCCAAGGGTTGACAAAGAAGAGAGGTAAAAGAACAAAAAAATGACAAACTGAATGTGAAGAAAAGGGAAATAGTCTGCGAGGAATCAACAGACCCATCCAGTAAGGGAAGAAAGAAAGAGATTCATGGAAAAAGAGGGACCCCAGGACAGGGACAGAAAAAGGTGGGTATTTCTTAAGTGAGAGGTCTGTGATAAGGCATATTGAATAGTCCAACAGGACACAGAAGTCTAGCTAGTTGTACCTACCAAGTGAAACCCAAGAAAAAAGGATCAGTTTGGGAAGAGGGTGTAACAAGCATCTAGAGGGACAATGATAAACATAGGAGAGAAAGATGGTACAAAAGAAAGGAAGTCAATGACTGGAAATGTGGCCTGCACAAAACTGGGCAAAACTTCATTAAGGTCTCAGTCAGGCAAGGGAGTTGGAAGAGGAGGACTGACAAGAAAGAAGGAGTGTAACAAAATGGAGAGAACATGGGAATAAATACCACCAGCAAAGAAGTGGAAGGCCAGGTCTGGCTAAGAAAACAACAGCCAGAGCCTAAGGATGAGGAATACAGGACCGTAAGAGAGGAAGTCCAAAGTAAAGAAGGGTGGTAAAATCATCCAAGATAGACGTGTCCAATCAAGGGTAAATCCCACGGAAGATCTGGGGGTGTAGAGGCTATTCTGTTGATCTAATATGGATTGGCTGAGAGAGGTGGTCCACCACACAGATTGAAGCTCCCAGCAAAAGATGTGAATGGGCTCAAAAGTGCATGGTTAACACCCAAAACAAAAAGGCCCTGGAATAGGAGGCACATGGATGGTTGGAGAGAGTAAAAACCATGAAATAGGCTGAGTGAAATATGACCAAGTGAACCATCAGTAGAGGCAGGAATAGGAACATGCTCTATGAAGTGCAAAAAGTCAAGCACAAGGATATTGAATGATTGGAAGTCCTGTCCTCATAAAAAATGTCCTTCAATCAGAGAGATATGGTTTAAGAAGCAGAAAGGGAATGTAGGAAGTAATACACACAGGGTCCAGTCACTGTGACATTTCCTTGAGGAGAGGCCCACAAAAGAGGACAAAGGACCCTAGCATCCAGAAACCACAGCAGATATGAGGTCTAAGTGTGAACAATGTCCCACACTCAGAACTAAGTACAAGTCATTGTCATTTGAAAATTCATGATAAAAAATTAAAGATTTTGAAATAAAAGCTATAGAAAATGAAAATCAAAGTTTGTTAATGATGCAAAGCTCAATAACTTGAATATAGACAGGAAATTTAAAAATGTCTGTATAATACAATGCTGAGGAAATAATAAAAATTCAAAAGTGTAAATGCCTAGGAGTTAGTGTGCATAGAGGTGTGTTACCCTTCTACTGGTGGAGGGATTTTGTTGCATGATGAGCACATCATGCAGTGGAGCAATTCATGCAAAATCAAGTGGGAGTTGCCTCAAGAATAATGCCATGCAACTCTTTTTAGCAGTTGCACGGCAGAAAATATCTAATTTGTGTGAGAGGTGAGTAATCATCTCAGAATTTAACTACAATTTTATACTAATATATACTTTTTCTACATTGTGAATGGTTAAAACACAATATATTAATATTGCTTCAAATGAAAACTTTGGTCTCTGGTACACACTAAAACTTGTGGATTAACAAAAATTATACATTTCATGCTTTACACACAAAACAGTTTTCTTCTCTCACTTGGCACTTTGTAAGTACTAACTGTTATAATAAGTTTTCTTATTGCTAAGCTAGGAATTAGCTTTAAACCAAATATTACTTAATACACACGTTTTCTACATTTATATTTACACATCTGCCATTTATCTGAGAAATAGTGATGAAAGAATTGAAAATTTGAATAGATAAAGAACCAAACAGTGTTAGCTTTGAGACTAATCACTGTTGACATTGATTATTTTCACTTTATTTACCACATATCTTACACTTGCATCACTATCATCAGGTAATTAATACTCCATGATACTCACATGATTTAATTTGTGTATTACCATAAGCCATCTGGTCTCCAATTACACACAAAATTATATAGAAATAATCTTTTTCAGTAATTATGATCAATTACAAATGGTTATTTATAGCAAAGTTTAAAATACATACATTCACATACATTCAAGATAAATGCTACTTGGATAAAACTTCAACAATACACTTTCTAGGCAATATTTGACTGAGATCTGTATAAAACACACACATAAAAATATAATCTTAGGAACTGGGAACTTTATAACAACACTTTAGATATTGTTTAATGCCCTATATAGGGTAGTGTGGCATTATTAGTGCATCTTGAGAGATAAGAACAACTGCAATATTTTGAAGAACACCAGAAAGTGTACTACAGATAAAATTGATTTTCTCCAACTGCAATTGTATTTGAATCAGAAAATAAACTGGACACAATGCAGATAAAGTGAAAAACCATCTTTACTTTCAACAAAGATAACCAAATGAAAACGAAGGCACTGGACATTTAATGGTGCTTCCAGCTAGTAGAAAGGTTTGAATTTTTTCTTATTCGGAAGAGATTTTTTTCTAGACTGAGAGTGACATTATATTAAAAAATAATAGTCATCTATCTCAGTTTACATGTGCTACCTCATCAATGAATTGTTCCAAATGAAAGTGATGAAGACACAGTCTTTAGGCATTTCTAAGCTCAAACACAGCAGTGTCACTACAGACAGTAAATCAAAATAGGTAGACAGTAGATCAAAAATAGGTTTCCAGCAATACCACTCATCAGAAAGTCTAAAAATATCCAAGTGGAACACACACATTGACCACGTGTAACTATCACACAAAGTAAAGTCAGTACTTGACATGGTCAGTTTCCTATATGTGAAAGTCTGTATCCACTCTAAAAGTACACATATCTCAAACATTCCAGTAAATTAAGTAATTTACCTTTCTAATTTAAGACAGAAAGAAAATATACTTTTCCAAATACCACAGTGCACTTAGTGCATCATTCTAGTTCAACTTAGAAATACTTACTGAAGTTAGAGCTGCAAATTCTGAAACACCTGGAACTAAAAGTGGAAAAAATTATAAAAGTTTAGTAATTCTAATTATGCATATTATGACAATATTTTTCAGTAATAAAAAACGTAAATGAATGGTGCAATACAAAATAATTATAGTTAATAAAATTTACGAAAAACTTTTTGTCATAATTTCTATACATTACCTAAAAACATCATCTTGCATACGTTTTTTCTTCACCATCAGTAAAATCATTGCATATTTTCATATAGACCTATCACACTTAGGCCAGCAACTCTGGCTAATTTTCATTACTTTCTGGTCAACATTATCATTCAATATTCTTGAAGTATTTACATTTACGGTAATGTTTTTATTATTAATATTTTTTGCTCAGTATTGAACCAAAAATCTCCCCCACACCAGGTAAGTACCATACCAACTGAGTTTGAGGGTTAACTCCACTAGCTACCATTAGCGAGGCATTTTCTTTAGCAATTCAACCACTACCTTCCTCCCCTCAGATCAAGCTTATATCAAGGTCATGGGACGATCACTAATTTGGCATTAACTTTTCTGTTGTAATCCTATATTTGTATTTCTTCTCTCATGCCCAGTGAATGCTCTGACAACTGAGTTAGTTAACCCACTAGCAATTGCCATCCTGTAGTTTTTGAAAAGATAAGAGTGACTTGGGACTTCCTTATAGAGCTTGTTTGTTAGAGAAAAAGCCAGAGTTTGCTTTGGGATATTTGCAATATTACAGATATAAAGAAGCATGTTGGGAAAGAAAATGAAAGAAGTATGAAAAGATTGCAAATTATCTGGATGAGAATGCTGGATGGAAAGGTAGGTGAGAGAGATATATGTGCTTGATGAACTTTATCTAAGCTAGTTGGAAACTGTATTTGAGAAAACTGTTTGGCCATATAGGATTGTGTCATGGATTTCGATTGACATGAGATTAAGTTTTGGACAGTCACAGCCATCTTCTTGTGTTTTCTCTAAAGAATATGGAATGGAAAGGTTGAAAATATTAACTTGAATATTAGAAGAAATGGGTTTAAACTTTGATACCTAGATGCAAACTTGCTTTTTTTTAGAACATTTTTGGTAGTAGTTATAAACTTGTGCAATAGGTTGTCTGATGATATGGTATATGCAGTAGTTGTAATGATTTAAAAATTTTGTTTAACAGGTATATGAATTGTTACATTTAAAGTAAAAGACGAATAAAATTTAATATATATATATTTTTTTAAAAGAAGGTATCCTCAATGAGCTGAAAGATCTTCTGCTACTTTGTCTTTCTTATGTCTTATTTTCAAATTATGTAAACATGATAAAAAAAATTCTGCATCCTATGAACGTTACTTTTCGTGAAATACCCATATCCTAGAATAATTATTATCAAATGTTCGATATTAAACATGTACTATTTAAATACAATTATTAAAAATCAATCAAATATAACATATTAAAATGTTGCATTACAAAAACAATTTACCTCTCATAGCATTTTTTAAAGAATAAAACAAAGGAAAACATAAATTATTGGAATGTATAACACCCTTAAGAACATAATCTGAACAAAATGCATAAAATTAATATGATAAAAAACTAGTAAACTTGTACTGAGCACAAATAGAGAAATAGAACTGTTTATAAAAAACAATTTGTAGATATTATGATTTAAAAAGATCTCAAAAACTGTATGTGTACAAACTTTTTTAAATTTTAAATGTTTATTTTCTATCCCTAACATTCTTTTGCATATAATTTATTACATTCACAAAGCAGCCACTTACTTTGTTCTGGCCATAGTTCAGGTGATGATCGGTCAAGTTTTTCCTGACTTAACAGGGAAGGCTCCATATTCTCTAAGAAATAAAAAGGCTTGCTTATAAAACATAGCAGTTTAGCACTGCTTTCTTAATGATCTTGTTATTCTCAGAAAATACAATTAATTTAAAAGCATTTAACTTTAAGAGAAAGCTTGATAAGTATTTGAATAATAAAGGCTGGCTTTGAGTTTTGGTGTTTAGTTTAATTTAGTGGAAAGTATGGCCTAGATGGATCAAATGCTCCCTTGTTATCCTTTAATGTTATACGAGTTTCTAATAGTTATACAGTTTATTTATGACTTATTTATAATCAGTGGCTTTAAACAATCTTTTTTTTATTTGAATAATGCTTTTTATTGTTAGTCAACTGAAGCAAAATTAATCAATTTCTGTACAATTTCATTTCTAAGCTTCCTCATCTGTGGATTACTAATAATTAGTAATATTATTCTGACCAAAGGAAACTACCTTAGTACCTACAATATTAGAGATAAATATTAACCTGCAGTTAATATAGCTAATTTCCTATGTCACTTTAACTTAAAGTTTAACTATAAAACTCATAAAACAAAAACTTGTCATGATCAGCATGCACTAATTCATCGGTTAGATACCTTCACTGTTACTAAGTTCCAATATACTGAAGACAAATGTAGTGTAACGCTATGCCTACACTACAGTATGTTACTTCGTAACTAATAGTAATAGTGAGCAATTAGTAATAGCAGTACTAATACTCTACTAGCAGTACTAACAGTAACACCTACAAAAGTGCAACGTTCAAATCACAGTTGTCAGTACGGTTTAAAATAAATCTTTGGAATGTAACTTTATAACACTAACAGTTTTGAAATTTAAAAGTCACGGTTTTTCTGTTACCAAGTCTTTACTAATCAATGTTTAACAATATCATTACATTCTAATAGCACTCAATAAGAGTGTAGCAAATTTACCTCCGTTTATTGACGCCATCTTCATTATCTCAGAAAAAGCCATAAGATAATGTAATTATTATGCGCGTTCATTATTTTCTGGTACTATGTAATTTTTTAATCTAAATCTCACAAAGTGTATATCTACAATTATCTTGCCTATTTATTTTAGATTTAGAAATAAGTATTTACATTTTCTCCTTCTCTTTTATCGACCTACTATGATCCATCCGAAATTTTTATTGAGTCCACGCTTGCCCTGTATCACTGTATTATTGTTGTAACATTATTCTTTCGCTATATGGGTTCTTTTATATCATTTAATGAAAATAATTCGAAGCTTAATCCATGTAAAGAATACAAATTAGTGTATTTCTTCCTTAATGTTTTACAAGTTGTCTTCACTTATATATTATTGTAATTCGTAGGCCTTACTTTACAAAAGGCGTTTAAACTGAAATACCCCGTTAATTGTACTACGACTAACGTCAAAATAAATTTACTTGTACAATTTCACGCTAATCGAGAAAATGAATCACGCGATAACTGATACCGATCCAAACACTTCGCTAAAATCAAATACCTTACTGAACTAAAATGACTGAAAACAAGTGATTCAGTATGTCACTAATTCTCTGCTCATTTTCTAATTGATTGGGCCACTCGTATTTATATTTCATGTCTCACTTCTAAATATTCGTCTACATCACTAGGTTTTTAAGATATTGTTACGTATCTGCTCGTTTGTTAATTACCCGTAAAAATTCTTTCCGAAGAACTTCAGCGATACAAGTCCTTTTCTTAAATGAAACTAGTTTATTCTTTCTCAGTACAACTTTGCAATACACTTAATTTCCACAGTCACTTTTCCTTAAACACACGCTATAATTCACAACGATTCACGCACTTTACTTAAGGTCACTACCGTGCTTGACTCAATTATCTGTCTCCGTCTGTTTGCAATGATCTATTTCGTCACTTCATTGGCCGGCTTATATATACAAGAATATAGGGCACGTAGAG